AAACTGGGAGGCGGCGATTGGCGAGTGGAGCTTGGGCCAGAAGACTGAGGTGTCCTGTAGACATATCCAAACACTTACGGCACATAACACTGCAGTCCTGGAGGGCCAGAGCCCTGTGTAGCTTAGTTCTTTCCCTGTTCCACCACAAATGATTCAGCTCAAGAGCTGTGTGGTAATTACCACAAGGAGTTGAATCAGGTGTGTTAAATGAGGGGAAACACAAAAATGTGCAGGACTCTGTCCCCCCAGGACTGGAGTTTGACACCTGTGGTTTAGAGAAATTGTCCAATGTAACCGAGAAGAACAGTAATTATGGGGGGGAAAATATCATGTTTGTGACTAAACAAAAGGCTTTAACTCCTACTTTTGAATGCTACTTATGAGCATGAAAAAACATCTGTGACTATATAAAATGTTTCAACTCTTGCTTTCACTTTCGCAATAGCCTGTAAAAACTCAGCCGTCAAAGATTATTTTGAAAAGCTGCGTTTCTCCCACAGATATATGTATATCTTATATGTTAACAGCACACAAAATGTAGTAAAGTCCATAACTGTTCATTTTATGGTTCTATGAAAAGTCCAGCTCAGCGCAACGTTTTCTGAGGCGTTTCTCTGTGGAATTTGGCCTCCATTAGCCTGGAGCTTGTTGATTGACATGAACAAGTTTATTTAATACAACAGATATAAATATTCATGAATACATTTCTGCAAGCATTTTACTCCAGAGACCTATAAGGCAAAACTGCCTTTATATTTATATCTTTACATTGTATTCATATCATATTTATATTATATGTCTATCATATACTAAAGCATTCAATGTCAACAGCTGTACGCAGGGATTCAGTAGGGGCACAGATACCCTGGCAAAATCAGAGGGCCCAGTACTTCACAATGGTCCTTTAATATGTAAAAAATATAACATTTATTATCTGTGTATGTGTTGGGGGGTCCTTGGGCAATATAGCATTCTATCGGGGGGTAGGGAGAGGCAGAATTTCTAGCCATGCCCCTGGCTGGAGGCTACAACAACCCTGAAGTAGAAATTGCTGCAATATTAAATATTCATGAACCCTTCTGTGGCAACTGTTACCTGTCTTTCTATATAAAAATGGTTTTACTTTCACAATAGTTACAACTGAGGCAGTCGAAGGGCGTTTGGAATAAGGTGAGTTTGTCCAACAAGTAAGTCTATATTTCAATAGCATACAAAATGTTAGAAACCCCACAGCTCATTCATTTAGTGGGTTTTGTGAAAAGTCCAGTTAAATTATGTATGCCTTTGGCTGGAATTTGCAGTTACCCAGGGTACCCGCGGTCATGGAAAACCTGGAAAGGTTCTGGAATTTAGAAATTATTTTTCCAGGCCCTGGATAAGTTTTGGAATTCTTGGATAGAGAGGAAAAGTTTTGGAAACTAGTCTTGTTCATTTTTGTTTCCCGCTTCGTGACGCTCGGAAATGTACGAGAGGAAGTCAATAGTTAACTACCTTGGTAAACATCCATTTCCGGCACTTTTACCGCACAGATTTCGCATATTTGAGATTTCCCAGAGGAAATTGCTTATGTGATGACTGCCACAACACACAAAGACACAGAGACACAAGAACAATATAAATAATAATCTAGATAAATCTGAGTAGAAATCTGTAGAAAGAAAACCACAATATAGATAGACTATGCTACATACAGAAATGCTTGGTATAATATCTATAAATAAGCCACGCAGCTGAGTGAAAACTATTGACATAGTGGTAGTTTGGAATAAGTTATTGCACTCTAGAAATCAGTAATAGTAATTAAGTACTATTAAGCAATATTAAGTAATGAAAAGTAATATTGACCAAGTAGTAATATTGCACATGAAGACTATTGCACATAATATATTGTGAACAGTTAAGAGATTTGATTTAGCTCCCATTTAGAGAACAACGTATGATATCGCACATAATAATAATAAGGTTCTAACACTGGTAAGAATATTGCGCAGTGTAACCCATAATAAATATACAGCAAGAAGCAGCTAATACTAATACTAATTAACATTAGTAGAAGATTAATTTATCATTTTAGAGAAGTTAAGATATAAAATAGTCTGCCGGTGTCGTTGCTCCGAATGCTAAGATATACTCAGTTAAGCTAAATCTACTCATTAAACTAAAGTTGGTTCTGTATTAAATTGGAATTCAGTTCATATAGTTTAAAAGTCCCAGTTGGTTCCAGATAATGATCTCCAAGGCGTCCAGGTGAGGGTTCAAGCGGTGAAGTGTCGGCTCGTGATCAGCTCGGAAAAGTGAAGATGGAGAAGAGCGTGATAGCCCTACACCTAACCTCCGGCAGTACTAAAGTAACTATGACAGTCTGGCCAAAAGGGGACAAGACACATAGGACAGTGACGATGGGCACCGACCCTGACAGATATAAGTACAAATCCAATACTTGAAGTGGACCAACGCGGCTTTCTCTTTTCCTTCAGAGTACTAGGAACATTTCTTGGTGCCAGCAGCACCTATTTTTTTCTCACATCAAGCACTTTACTTTTATTTAATGAATGTTATACTCCAAAGCAACCCTTAGGAAGTATTGAAAATGTATGAGGTATATTGTTAAACTGGTTGATGCATATGGGTAAAGCGGCAGTTTGTGACAAACCTGTTTTGAACTGAAAAGGAAAACACGGTACTGTCATTGAACAGGTCTGGAAGTTGCTGTTGGAAAATGTTTGGAAGTTGGTGGTGGAAAAAGGAAAAGGGAGAAAGTACCCCAAAGACAGTGGAGAAAAAACCAGAGCTCCTTGATAAACCATGGAGGAGTGTTATATGGGACACTGGGTATGAAGCCAGTTTTTATCAGATTTTATATACAGCTTTTATTTTTTATCAGTAGCAGTTTTATAATTTTATGCATATATCTCTGAAATATGTTTGAATACTAGCTCTTCCCACTGCCAGTAATCGGAGGGTCACTAGTTCCCATGTTTGGCAGAGTGTTCACTGTTGGCCCTTTGTGTAAGACCCTTAAGTCTAATTGCTCCAGGCACTGCCTGACCCTGGTTTCTCAAATGTGCACAGCCTTGTAATTCGTCATAAGATATAGGATTATTTGTATTCCTGATTCATTTTGACTAATTCTGATTTCCAATTTAAATATCTGTTCCATTAGGACAAAAAACAACCTCAAGCAGTCTGTGCAAAATTACGCACCCACTAATAAATCAGTGCCTCAGGCTCGGATTCTTCTAGTTGGTGCGATTGGTGCTGGAAAATCGAGCTTCTTCAACTCCATCAACTCTGTCTTCCGTGGCAATATAACAGCCCAAGCCAGAGCAGGAATGAATGCCGTCAGCCAGACAACAAAGGTAATATGATCGCCTGAGTCATCATGTCATAGTGTGAATCTTTGGTGATTGCTCTACATCTGCTTTGTTTAGTTATATTGCCTGGATTGGTCTGTACAATACATATATGGTCCGGAGACCAGCCTTCAGCAGCAAGCACTTTCTCATGAATGTGATAAGTCAAAATTCATTTGCCTGATCTTTTTCAAACTTTGCAGACACATTTTATGGGTGACCAAATGGAAGTCTTCAGAGACAGATCACCAAAAAACCTAAGTAGTACCACATCGTTTTAGTGACTTGGTCCTGGTAGTATTATAACTTAAGTATTTTACAGATATTTTCAAGACAATTTTATTTATATAGCACCTTTTGTACACTGTGGTCATTCAAAGTGTTTTACACATAATTAAAATACACAATACAAAGAAAATTTAAATTCAAAAAGAATATGAGAACAGAATTTAAAAACATGATTAAAACAATAGATTTAAAAGAGAAAAAAATACACATGAAAATGAAAAAGAAATTAAAGATTAATTAGGATAAAAAGGTGCTATTACTGGAAAGAAATGCAGTACAGCTAACAGAGTGTTAAGCTAAGCTTAAAGGGTCAAATTTCATGGCAACAGCTTGGTCAAATAGGAATGTTTTCAGACTGGATTTGAAAGTATCTAGAATTGGGACTCTCCTAATGCTCCTAGTCAACTGGTTCCATTTAAGAGCGATGTAATAGCTAAACGCTGCTTCTCCATTTTTAATATTTACCTTAGGCAGGACTAACTGACTCATTCCTAATGACCTGAGAGTTCTGTTCGGCTCATATCACTGCAGTGTATTAGACAGATGCTCAGGGCCATTAAGTGGTTTATAGACCATTGATAGTACCTTAAAGTCTATTTTGTTACTGTAGGATTTAAGAACGGGGGTGATGCATTCCCTTTGTTATAATACCTCTAACAATTGACCGTGGATTGTTTAGTATCAAGGAAATTTAATGAAGGGATTTATTGCACGGGTGGCAATGCCTAGGTGCTTGATTTTATATACCTGTGGGTATGGAAGTGATTGGGATTATCAATGTGTACGTGGTAAAATCACCAGGAATAAAAATCAGAATCAGTGGAAAAAAAGATAACATATATTCATCAATAAAATTAACACTGTATTGTGGAATTCTGTAGACAATTACTAATAATATTGTTGGACCCCCTCTCGGAACTGCACAGGATATGAAATTACAAATTTACACCTGTTTGCATTGGAAGGAATCATCAAACAGCTAGGTCTACTATGCCTTCAGCTTTATAAAGTTTGGTGAAGCTGCCTCAGATAATACAGTTAATACATTCTTTTAACCATATTTCTATTAAAAGCATAAAAACAAGTCCTTGAAACCATTAATAAAATAAGACTTATTTATGAGAGATCTAATATTAAGTAGAGATAACTTAGTAACCTGTGCACAATTCATGAAACACTGCACAGCAAATGTTAAATTAACACTGCATGGTGTCTATATGTGTCCACACCATTCAGTGTTACCTTTAACACTTTACAGTGTGCAGTGAGTGTTGTCTTTACAATGTTAATGTTTATTAACTCTTATAGTGTTCAATTTACAACCTAGAGTGTTAGATAATGGGCCTCATTCACCAATATTTTCTTAAGGATTCTCTTAAATATGTACCTACGAAATTTGTTAAGAACAACCTACGTCGGATTCATGACGTGTTCTTAAGTAGCAGAATTGTTCGCACCTTTGTTCTTAAGAATGGTGAATCCCACGTCTTCGTAGCTGAAAGTGCGTGCCAGTTTGTGCTAATTAGCATAGGGAAACGCCCTGCAATTTCCCATAAAAGGGCATGAGACTGTTGGGCCGCGTGCAAGGAATGGCGAGGAGGCGCGCAGGCTCTGAGCCGCTTGGCACTAAGAGGAAAAAAACTTCAGTAATGCTGAAGTAGAAGTATTAATACAGTAAAATCCCGTTATAGTGGACCCGCTTATAACGGAATATCATCTATAACGGACACTGGTACATTTGCTGTGTGTGACTCACATTTTATGTACTGCAGATTGGAAGCATTCACGTTATTTGTTGTTTTTCCTATGTTTGTACTTCCTGTTCTCTCTGTGCTTTTCATTCAGTTCAGATAATGTGATGTTCAGCTCACATTGAATTATGAGTTTTGGGTTTTTATGCCTCTAACAGAGTCACCCTGAATGACAAAGAAGTGACCACAAACCGGGGCTCTCTGGCTCTGCTAAGATGCTCTGAAAAATACAGACCGGTTTTAACATTTTGTGTTCATAAATATCCCACTCGTAAGTGCAAATATGAAACTCGCAAGCACAGAAAGAAGAATTGTATGTGTTTCTGTCATGATAATAAGTTCTTTTTTTCTTTCTGAAATGTTTATTTTGTTCTCGATTTGATAGATATCCTCACACGCCTTTGGCTGCTCCCTGTGCTCAAGTGAAATTTTTGCACTTTGCAGTTTTGACATGGGGGTGGTCTTGACAGTGTGGGGGTGGGATTATGCTTTTTTTTTTTTAATATGAATTTGAAATAATAAATTTTTGCTCAACATATTTACTTCAATTTATTCAAATAGTTATTCATTAATTTACATGAAGTTATTTTCATCTAGGTTACACCCAGATCAGAGTATCCAGCCTTCTTGGAGACCTTGGAGAGGGTGCTGGATAGTGCCCCTTCTGGGGACTCCATTGCTCTGCTGGGGGACTTTAACACTCATGTGGGTAATGACAATAAAACCTGGAAGGGTGTGATTGGGAGGAATGGCCTGCCCAGTTGGAATCCGAGCAGTGGCCAGTTATTGGACTTCTGTGCTAACCACAGTCTGTCCATAATGAACACCATGTTCAAACATAAAGGTGTTCATAAGTGCACTTGGCACTAAAGCAGCCTAGGCCACAATTCAATGATTGATTGTAAAATCGTATTATGGGATCCGCGTCTGCATATTTTGGACACTCAGGTGAAGTGGAAGCTGAGCTATCAACTGATCACTACCTGGTGGTGAGTTGTATCCAATGGTGGGAGAAGATGCTGGATAGACCTGGTTAGCCCGAATAGATAGTAAGGATGTACTGAGAGCATCTGGTAGAGGCCACTGTCGGGAAGATCTGTGACTCACATTTCTGGCAGAACTTCACTTGTATCAGTGAGTCAGGGAAAATTGAGCCTGAATGTGCTATGTTCCGGTTCATCGCTGAGATAGCTGTGAGGAACTGTGGCCGTAAGGTTGTTGGTGCGTGTCGTGGTGGTAATGCCTGAATCCGATGGTGGACATCAGCGGTGAAGGAAACTGTCAGGCTGAAGAAAGGTGTTCCGAGCTTGGCTATCTTATGGGACTCCGAAAGCAGCTGAAAAATACCGGCATGCCAAGCAGAAAGTGGTTTTGGTGGTTGCTAAAGCAAAAACTCTGGTATTGGAGGAGTTTGATGAGGCCATGGATAAAGACTTTTGGATTCTTTTAATCTGTCAGGTCGCTCTGGAAGGATAAGCAGGGCTATTTACGGGGATGTATGTTAAAACTTGAAGATTTATATTTTTTACTCTGTGCTGTATTGCCCTCTAGCTTTGACATGGATGTGATTTCATAGAAATAGCCCATCCTGTTTACAGCAGAGATGGAGTGATGTTGACCTCACCTGGGGATGCAGTTAGGTGGTGGAATGAGTACTTTGAGGACCTCCTGATTCCCACTGACACGCCTTCCTTAGAGGAAGTAGAGTCAGAGGACTTGCCCATCACTAGGGTTGAGGTCACTGAAGTAGTGAATAATATTCGTTGGTAAGGGTCCAGGATGGATGATATTTGCCCTGAGTTCCTGAGGAGTCTTGATGTTGTTAGGCTGTCTTGGCTGACACACCCCTTCAGCATTGAATGGAGGTTGGAAACAGTGTCTTTGGATAAGCAGACTGAGGAGGTGGCCCCAATCTTTGAGAAAGGGGGCCAGAGGATATGTTTCAACTTCAGGGAGATCACACTCCTCAGCCTCTGTGAAGGTCTATGCCGGAGTACTGGAGAGGAGGATGAGTCCATCAAACTTCAGATCCAGGAGGAAAAATGCAGCTTCCATCCTGCTTACAGAATGCTAGACCAGGCTTCATGTGACTTGGAAAAGGCATATGATCATGTCCTCTGAGGGTTGTGTGAGGGGTGCTTCAGAAGAATGAGGTACGGGGTCCATTGTTACGAGCCATTAGGTCCCAGCATAACTGGAGCGAGTTTGTTTTGCCTTGCCTGCTGTAGGAATTATTAGCTCAGGTAATTTTTAATATCTCCACCAAAATGTTTGAAATTAATTAAAGTTTAATTAATTATTATTTAATGCTGATTATTAACCA